ACTTATATGCACTTACAACATTGTAAACTATGATGTGTTTATATATTGATTAAACAAAAGTAGGGGGGTTATTAACCAAAACATAAGATTATTCCAATGAATGTGTTTGCTTTTTTGTATTTTACTTCTGGAAAGTAAAATGTTGAATGTGAGATTTTCACATATAACCGAGTAGTTGTACAAAGTGGCAGTGCAACCTTCTATGAAATGTACCTACTGAGAGAGTATTACTGTGCATGTTTGAAGTTTACCCGTTAAATTACAGTATGAGTTCATAATTTACATGAAAAGCACCAATGTAAAGGACAGGCCAAATCTTTATTTAGGGGGGAATGACAGATTTATAAGAGAAAATCAACTTTGTCAATCCCACACAGAGAACCTGAAATGTCACGGCAGCAGAAGAACAACACAAGCATTGTACAGATGAATTACTTAAAACATAATACACCCACTGATGAGCATCTCCATGAAATGAAGCACAGAATAAATAAATAAAAACTGCCCATCAAACAAATCTGTGCACTGAAATTATGAATATAATCTGACACACCATCTGTCCTTGTTTGTCAACCTCAGTTTTAGCCGAGTTTGTTCCACATTTTTAGGTCGTTTTAGCTCTCTTTTGTCTTTCCTGTGGCTTTGAGGAACAAAGTTAGTATTAATGGAAGAAATGAGACTGAGGATGGGTTCTCTGCTCTGCTCTGTGAATGTGCTTGACTTTTTTTTTTTTTTTGAACAAAAAGACATGAAATCGAACATTCCACCTTAGCAAATGTGTGACATTTTCTCTGCTGATTCTGATGCTATTGTTGGATCAATGTGCCTGAGCAGATAACTCACAGAGCAGCACAGAGGGCTGTGCATGGGTGCTTTTCTGTGTGAAAACTAAACAAGAAAGGTCAGGCTGGTATTATGCAACTGTTTGTGTCATAGATCATAAATTAAGCAGACGTCAAAAATCAGGTCTGGAGAACCTGTTATGACAATTACAGGGTTTTTATTTATTTTTATTTTTTTTATAAGTGTACCCAATAAACTGGCAACTTGTGTGTCACACTGTTCTTAAAGCGTCACCCTCACTTCTAAAAAATATCCTGAACATGGTGACAGGTCCTACAATTAGGACTCTGTTGCTTTCTTGTGTGGTGTATTGCTGCCCTGTTGGACACCAGGATACATCAGGCAAATAATAAAAGCCGAGTCTCCAACAATTCTGCTTTTATGACGACCAATTCTTTATAACAGCATTCCAGTACAATGCAGTGCAGTGACTGCTTGACAATAAAGCCACCTGCAGTGAAATGTGTTTGAGATTCATCAAAGGACGAAATGTTCGAAGAGTGCTTTGTGTTTGCTCTCAATTTGTCCTTCATTTGAGAAGTAAAAAGACATTTCAAACATCAAATGCACATCTCCTGACCTAGAAAAAAAAAAAAAAAAGCAAAAGCGTTTAAGTGCTGCAGAAGAAATGAAAAGAGCAAAAAACAGTGACATTAATTGTTAAAGAGTCGCAGCGTATTCTGTCCAAACTNGTCCTCAGAGGCCGAGGAAAGGTTTAGACCCTTTGCTTCAGGCGAAGGAGGTGAAATACAACATTACATGTCAAAGTCCTGCAGTGGAAACGATAGGAAGTAAAAGTACACTGTAAAAAAAAATCTGTTAAAATTTTACCCTTAGTTTATATAGATATATATATATTTCCCTGTTTTATTAAATTACAGTTAATAAGATTTAATATCACACACTGGCACACACGTTAAAAAAAAAATAAAAATCTAAAAACATAATTTTGTTTAACAGATATTTGTGGTAGAAAAAAATACTGCAAAGATCTGTAAAATTGTAAATTATTTATTTATTTACTTTTTAAAACATGTAATTTTATAGTCCAACATTGTCAAAAGTATGAATTACTGTTTCTAAAAACATTTATATATGTAAATGTTTTGATGTGGAATTAGTTACAGTTTAATTGTTCGCTTTTCTTGCCCTTAACATGTAAACTACCTTAAATTCCGGATTATTAGATACTTTTTCTTTTACACGCTGTGAACACTTCAGAGTTTTACGAATTTGCCTCGAGATGAAAGTGACGTTGAGAGCAACAACGAAAGAGAGACTGAGGAAGTGTGTGATGAAGTTATTCTCAGGCTGTTCGATTCCGACACTGAAGAAGACGACTTTAGTGGTTTTAGTGCAGGAGGAAGATGAAGATAGAGATCAATGACTTTTCCTAGTAGGCTAATGTATTTTTTATTTTCTTAACCAACCACGTTGCAGGCACTGTTTGGAAAAAAAAAAAAAATTACGGTACATATTTGTGTATGTCACCGGTACTTATTTAATTCAAAGTTTTAAAAAATCTTTCGGTGTAAATATCTCATGTTACAACGTGGACACCTGCGGCTTACAGACAAGTGCAGCCTACATATGTACAAATTTTGTTTTTTTTTTAAAGTTAATGGGTGTGGTTTATATTCAGGTGCGCACAATAGTCCGGAAATTACAGTAATATTTATTTCTATGATTACACCTGTTACTTAAGTAAAAGTGCACTGTCCAAAAAAAATAAAAAATCTAAATCAATGTTCCAGTATTATCGTTTTTTTAAAAAACAGATTTTCCCTGTTTTGTTAAATTAGTTAATAAAATTTTAAATCACACACACACACACATACAGTTTAAATAGAGTAAAACATGTAAGCTTATGGTCCAATATTGAAAAAAGTATGAACTAATCTTTGCAAAAAACAATTTTTTGATGTGAACACTATTTGTAGTTTAGTTGTTTCCTTTTTCTTGCTGTTAACATGTAAACTTATATTTGTTTCTATGACTACACATGTCACTTAAGTAAAAGCGCACCATAAAGAAAAAAAAAGAAATGTATAAATTTTACCAAAATTTTACAGATTTTCCTCATTTTGTTAAATTACAGTTGATCACAATGATTACGTATATTCATAATCACTACATATATAGATGTGATTATCATTATTTTACATTTTACACATTTGNATATGAAGTAAAAGTGCACTGTAAAAAAAAATCTGTTAAAATTTTACCTTTAGTTTCTCTCTATATATATATTCCCTGTTTGTTAAATTACAGTTAATAAGATTTAATATCACACACTCGCACACACATTAAAAAAAAATAATTTAAATCTAAAAACATATTTTTATTTAACAGATATTTGTGGTAGAAAAAAATACAGCAAAGATCTGTAAAATTGTAAATTATTTATTTATTTACTTTTTAAAATATGTAATTTTATGGTCCAACATTGTAAAAAGTATGAATTACTGTTTGTAAAAACATATATATATATATGTGTGTGTGTTTTGATGTGGAATTATTTACAGTTTAATTGTTCGTTTTTTCTTGCCCTTAACATGTAAACTACCTTAAATTCCGGATTATTAGATACTTTTTCTTTTACACGCTGTGAACACTTCAGAGTTTTACGATTTTGCCTCGAGACCAAAGTGCCATTGAGAGCGACAACGAAAGAAAGACTGAGGAAGTGTGTGACGAAGTTATTCTCAGGCTGTTCAATTCCGACACTGAAGAAGACGACTTTAGTGGTTTTAGTGCAGGAGGAAGATGAAGATAGAGATCAATGACTTTTCCTGGTAAGCTACTGTATTTTTTATTTTCTTAACCAACCACGTTGCAGGCACTGTTTGGAAAAAAATTAAAAATTAATGTATGTATTTGTGTATGTTACTGGTACATATTTAATTCAAAGTTTAAAAAAATCTTTCTGTGTAAATATCTCATGTTACAACGTGGACACCTGCAGCTTATAGACAAGTGCAGCCTATTTAAATGTACAAATTTTGTTTTCTTTTTAAAGTTAGTGGGTGCGGCTTATATTCAGGTGCACTCAATAGTCCGGAAATTACAGTAATATTTATTTCTATGATTTCACCTGTTACTTAAGTAAAAGTGCATTCTCAAAAAAATAAAAATAAAAAATCTAAATCAATGTTCTGTTACCCTTTTTTAAAAACAGATTTTCCCTGCTTTGTTAAATTAGTTAATACAATTTTAAATAACACACACACACACACACACACGGTTTAGATAGAGTAAAACATGTAATCTTATGGTCCAATATTGTAAAAAGTATGAATTAATACTCGTAAAAAACATATATTTTTTGATGTGGACACTATTTACAGTTTAGTTGTTTGTTTTTTTCTTGCTGTTAACATCTAAACTAACATTTGTTTCTATGATTACAGCGCACTGTTAAAAAAAAAAAAAAGAAATGTATAAATTTTACCATAATTTTACAGATTTTCCCCATTCTGTTTTATTACAGTCAATCACAATGATTACGTATATTGGTAATCACTACATATATAGATGTGATTAGCATTATTTTACATTTTACACATTTGTGGGGGCAAACCATGTATATAATAGTATAATATTGAAAAATG